AGCCGTGGCGACCATTGGAGGGTGAACCAACGGCAAAGGAAGACCTTTCTCTCTGTCTCTCTCTCTCACTGTCCACTCTGCCTGTCAAAAAAAAATAATAATTAAAAAAAAAGATTTATTTATTTATTTGAAAGTCGGAGTTACACAGAGAAGAAGCAGAGGCAGGAAGAGAGAGAGGTCTTCCATCCGCTGGTTCACTCCCCAGTTGGCCGCAACAGCCAGAGCTGTGCCGATCTGAAGCCAGGAGCCAAGAGCTTCTTACCAGTCTCCCATGTGGGTGCAGGGGCCCAAGGGCTTGGGCCATCTTCTGCTTTCCCAGGCCACAGCAGAGGTGCTGGTTCCAGTCCCGGCTGCTCCACTTCCAATCCAGCTCTCTGCATGTTTCCATGTGGGAAACCCGGAGGAAGCTCCTATCTCCTGGCTTCGGATTGGAATAGCTCCATCTGTTGTGGCCAGTTGGGGAGTAAACCAGCAGATGGAAGACTTCTCGCTCTTTCTCTCTCTCTCTCTCCTTATCTTTCTATATAACTCTTTCAAATAAATAAATAAATCTTTAAAAGAGAGAGAGAGCGAGCTGGATTGGAACCAGTGCCCATATGGGAGGCCGGCACTGCAGGCAGCGGCTTTACTCAATACGCCACAGTGCCAGCCCCTACAGTGTCTTTATCTAGAGTAATTATCCAGGCCGGCACCGAGGCTCACTAGGCTAATCCTCCACCTAGCGGTGCCGGCACACCGGGTTCTAGTCCTGGTCAGGGCACCGGATTCTGTCCCGGTTGCCCCTCTTCCAGGCCAGCTCTCTGCTGTGGCCCGGGAGTGCAGTAGAGGATGGCCCAAGTGCTTGGGCCCTGCACCCCATGGGAGACCAGGAGAAGCACCTGGCTCCTGCCTTCAGATCAGCGCAGTGCACCAGCCGCAGCAGCCACTGGGGGGTGAACGAACAGCAAAGAAAGACCTTTCTCTCTCTCTCTCTCTCTCTCTCTGTCCACTCTGCCTGTCAAAGAAAAAAAATAGAGTAATTACCCAGACTTACTTCCTATAATTAATTGACTTTGACACTTATCATCAGGACTTCTACCATGCACTGCTGATTCAAAATTCTTGAATCTGATTAATTTTTAGAAGTCTATAGTATTTCTTTACTGTTGGTTATTTTGTCTATAGTATTTTGAGCAGGACAATCTTCAGAGCCCATGATCAAGAGAATTCTTTCTGTGACTGTCACATATTTTTTTTTGTTTTTTTATTTATTTGAAAGGCATAGTTACAGAGAGGCAGAGAGAGAAAGAGACAGAGAGAGAGAGAGAGAGAGAGAGAGAGGTCTCTTCCAACCACAGATTCACTACCTAGATGGCTGCAACAGGCAGAGCTGAGCCAATCTGAAGCAAGGAACCAGGAGCTTCTTCTGTGCCTTCCACACGGGTGCAGGGGCCCAAGGGACTTGGGCCATCATCTACTGCTTCCAGGCCATAGCAGAGAGCTAGATCATAAGAGGAGCAGCTGGGACTAGAACCGGTGCCCATATGGGACACCAGTGCCTCAGGCCAGGGCGTTAACCATGGGCCACTGCGCCGGCCCCAATAATTCCTTTTTAAACACAGGAAGCTGGGGCCGGTGCTGTGGCTGTGGTATAGTGAGATAAAGCCTCCACCTGCAGTGCTGGCATCCCATATGGGAGCCAGCTTGAGTCCCGGCTGCTCCACTTCCCATCCAGCTCTCTGCTATGGCCTGGGAAGGCAGTAGAAGATGGCCCAAGTCCTTGGAGCCAACACACTGTGCTCCTGCATCGGAGGCTGGGGGAGCTCTCTGGAGGGTCTAGGCAGAGCAGCACCGCCCCTGGCTGACCCCGTGCAGGGGCCTGTAGAGCTGCAGCCCTCGGGGGCCGGAAGGGCTCAGGACAGCTCAGACTGGGGAGATGTCTCTCTCCCGCTTCCGCTTGCCGGTGCTGATGGAGGCACGGGGCACTTCAAACAACCCAGGGAGCCCTGAGAACTCTGACATAATGAGTTCATGAGGACTTCTCCCACTCAGCAGGCCCCATCTAAACACAGGTGAGGTTCAGTTCCTGATGCATACTTTCAATTTTGATCCTTCAAGGCTCAAGTTCAGAAAAAAAACTCCATTGCTGTGCTTATGTCAGTTTGCAGGTCATACTTCTGCTTGTTATGTGAGTTTCCCAAGGCAACGAAAAGGTCGATCATCTTATCTCCTGCAACATGGCTGCCATCAGACACCTAGAACAAGCCCCTATTCTACACCAAAAACTTCATATGGCAGAAAGCAACACAAAATCACTTTTCCCGGAGCTAACAATGAGCCAATGCAAACACCTAGTGCACTCTTGCAAGAATTGTGCCCCCTCGCCCCGTCAGGCCCACTGCTACAAGCAGGAGTCAACCCGTGAGGACTTGCTCCTTAGAAGCTCTGGCAAGTGGAATTCACCCACATTAACTCCTTTGGTCAACTTATGTTTGTCCATGTGGTGGGAGATACGTATTCAAAGGCTGTATTTGCAGCAGCCCAATCCGGAGAAAAGGCTAGAAATGTGATAAAGGCGGTTAAGTCAGCCCTGCTGGTCCTCGGTGTCCCCTGGACAATAAAGCCTGATAATGGGCCAGCATATACACCACAGGAATTTAATTCCTTCCTGAGGTCCTGGAACATACAGTCTGCCACAGGTATCCCATACAAGCCACAGGGGCAGGCAATCATTGAAAGAACTCATAGGACGATTAAAGATCTCTTACAAGGACAGAAAAACAACCGTATGTCCCCAGACCCACAGCTTGCTTTGACTGAGGTCCTTTTCACTATCAAGTTTCTTCCTTTTGATTCCAAGGGGTCAGCCCAGTTTATAAACACTGGGGATCCTTTCCATCCCAGACCCCAGCCCCTATGCTTAGGTGGAAATACCCCTGACAGGAGAATGGAAGGGGCCACACCCTCTCTAACCAAAGGTCGAGGATATGCTTGTGTCTTTCCAGAGAATGCAGCACAGCCCATTTGGGTACCAGCCAGAAACATCCAGCCTGCAACTGACAGCCAACCAGAACCAGCTGAACAAGACTGAGAGTCAGCCTTGTTAGCAGACGCACCTGCCCTATCATCCTACCCTGGGAAACTGCCCATAGACACATCCAGTAATGCTTCATACCCCACTAGCTCTAGTCAGCCACTCAAATGGCCCACAGCCTGTGTGTGGTCACACAATTCCTGGTTACCATTCTTCCTCATTCCTACCCCATCTGAGCAAGCACACCAGTGGTCTCCCGTGTTGAGCACTGTTTAGTCAACGACGGGTAAGATCCCCTGGGGGACAACCTAAGACAGGCACAGCCGCGTACAGAGACCACATGGACACAGGGTCAACAATGGTATGGCCAAAAATCATGCCTCCCATTGCTCAAAAATAAATGAAAGGGGGAAATGTGGTGGAATGAGAAGGCCATGTCAAGATGGCCGCTGGCAAGCGAGCGTCAGTTATTCAGGAATGGCTTTGAATCCCACCTGGCAGTGGAGCCTGCTGGCAACAGGCTGTGATTGGATGGCTTCCAATACTGCCTGACAACAGGCTGTGATTGGTTAGGGTATAAACCACCCCATGACCGGATTGGCTGTCTTGGCTATATAAGCTGTTGTACTAACTGAAATAAACGAGTCTGCGGGCTGCTTGCCTCAAGCCCACTTTCACCGACTCCCGGCGTCTGTGTGGTGACTCCATGCCTCTAGCCGCCACCAGGCTCCTCCTCTCAGAAACAACTCCACTGCAATATTGTTGAGAAATCAACTGCAACAGTGCACATGTGGAAGAAGCTGGACTCAGGGGCCGAGGCAGGGGATGGACCCCGGGTGGTCCAGGAGGGGATGCACGTGCCCAGTGGTGTCTTCCCCACGTTGCCTGCCCTGGGGTTGTCATCAGGGACAGGGCCCAGTCCTCCTCCAGCCCCATCTCACTCGGGCTCCTGCTGGGGGATGCTGTCTGCCATGAGACCCTCACCAGAAGCTGGTGCCGTGCCACGCTCTCGGGCTGGTCAAGCCACAGGCAAAGTGAACTTCTTTCATTTTCTAAGCAACGCGGCTTCAGGTATTTTGCTATTGCCACACAGAGTGGCCAGGACTCCCCTCCAACTTCAGCTAAATGCCCTCCAATGTCCCTGAAGGGTTTCTGAGAAAGCCTCTTCCCGAAGCATCAGGGGTTCCCCATTCCGGATTTTAGTTGAGGTCTCCCTAAACCTGCTCTGGCTTCCTGTGCCCCCTAAACCCCCAGGTCTGAGTCCTCTGTTAGGGGTGGCTGGGGGTCCAGGCAGAGGCCAGCTCAGCAGCACTGCTCATGGCACCTGGGAGTCCGGCAGGACTTCGAGTCCCTCAGGTCAACCTCTAGAGCCATTGCGGGGCCTCATCTGTGTCCTGGGAGACAGGAGCCGGGCAGGAGCTGGGAAATGCTGAGTCTGCGAATTCACCACCAGTCCTTACAGGGCTCTGGAGCCGCCCCTGCATTTCAGGTGAGCCATGGCCCGCGTGCCCGGCTGAGAGCTGTGGCTACACGGCCACAGAGATCACCTCTGACAGTGGTGCTTGTGGGAGAGCAAGGTGACCTGCGTGCTAGGGCCCTTCCCGCCCACAGCACATGAGCTCCGCACACACCAGGCCCCTCCAGCGCGCTGCGGCAGCCCTTCCTGGAGAACCTCTCTGAGTCCCAGGGCCAAGGGCTCTACTCCCGTGGTGCTCACACACAGGCACAGCTGAGAGCAAGTCCCTCTCACCTCCACCGAGAATCCATGCGATTCTATTAAATGTGCCTCCTGCCTACGCTACCAACACCTGGTCAGTTGGGCAGTAGACGTACTCTGGCCACTGGTCGCCTCCCAGCCCAGAGTGCGCATCCTCTTGCATGTGGGAGAGCCATGTGGGGTCAAGCCAGGGATGCTGCAGCCACGGCCGCCCAGGTCTAGGGGAGAGCACAGAGGTGACACAGGCCCTCCAACCACGGCTGTTCCTATTGTGCCGATCTGTCCCAGAGGTCACGGGCACTCACGGCTGCTGCTCTCCCACCCTGGCCCAGTCCCCACAGGGCACAGCTGAATCTCAGGCATTGTCTGCAGGGTCCTGAGTGGGTCTCTGCCTGGGGCTGGGGGCTGTGGAACCACCCATCTCCCCAGGAACACGGGGAAGCTTGCTGCCGCTGGGCGCCGGGGTCACAAACTGGAGCAAACTCCTTTCCATGGAACAATTTAATACAGGCTCAGCACCACCTGAGGGTGGTGGTGGGGGAGGGGGCAGGGAGGAGAGTACAGTGGCTCCTGGCACGGCTGTTGTCTTCCAGTGTCAGGGTGTCCTGGCCCCAGGAAGAGCCTGGGCGGTGGGGGCTCAACCAAGTGCATAGGATGCCGTGAAGACACACGGAAGGCTGCTGCCCAGCCTGGGCAGGACAGATGCTGGACTCGGCCTCTCTTCTAGGAGGCACCCATCATCCAGGTGCCCCACAGAATAAGAGGTAAGGAGGCCTCTGGCCAGGGAGGGCACGCGGGCCTGGTCTCCCAGCCCAGGGCTGGCTCTGGCCGGCTCCAGCCCGTGACTCTCCCCAGAGTGCGTGGGGCTGCCATGCCAGTAGTGGGGAGTCTTCAGCCGTGGCCCCCAGGCGGGGACAGCCTGCATGGGCCCTGGTTCCGGGGGCTCTGAGGCCCGTGGAGGAGCCCACATCCACAGGCCCTCCCGGCTGCCAGCGTCGGAGGAGTCGTCCTCCCTGTGCTCTGGCCCGCTCAGGTTAGGGAGACTGGCGCACTGGCACAGGCCTCCCCACCTCGAGCACTTTGGAGACTCCGTGGGGCTGGCAGAACCTGGAGACTCTGCGGTCCCCACAGGGGAGCCCAGGCCGAGGGGCTCTGGGCTGCCTTCCCAGCTCTCCTCCTCCTCCATGCCTTCCCTCTCGGCGATGCGGAGGCCAAAGCTTCCTGGAGGACGGATCATCACTGCACGAGTAGCGGGACCCCTGGTCTGCTCCCACACTGCCACTGTGTCCTGAATGGTGATTTTGGCCTTCGGAGCAGTGGGGGCAGGAACGTGCATCTGGGGGACGCGTGCCTGCCCCAGGGGCCTGCTGCACTGTTCGATGGCCTTGGCTGGAAGAAGAAGAGACGCGGTTTGCTTCTCCACAGCCCCCGTCTGGCCTGCAGGGTGCCTGCCCCGACCTCATCCTGGGGTCCCCATCACCACGTGTGACGCTGAGGACTCTTCCAGGCTGCTGGCCCCAGAGGGGAGGGTGTGTGCAGCCCGGGCAAGGGGAGCCCTGGGACACCACCGGCTCCTCCTGCACAGCCCCACAGGGTGGATGGCCCTGAACTCCTTGCCTCACTCTCATCTCTGGGGACCCAGGCACCAACTCAGGACCCCATCACCTACCCCACCTGACCTGCTGCGCCCTAACAGTGCATTGGCTGATTTCCCGCATCTGAGTCCCTCCTACATGGCTGGAAAGGAACTGAGCCTAAGATGATGGGGTGAGAGCTGGGGCTGTGGGGCAGACATGGAGTCTGGTTCAGGACTTGGGGACAGGGAATGCAGTTTCTAAAGAGGTGGCAGGGGTGCCCTGTGTCCTCTGCCCCTGGGCCACTGTCTCTTTCCTGGTGAGACTGGGCTGTCACCGCTACTGTCCCAGGAGCACCCAGGGAGGCAGCATCTGGAGGCACAGTGGGGCCTCCCCAGTGCCTGGACAGCCTGCACCTGGGCCCCCACTTAGAGCCTCTAGAGCTGGGACAAGCCCATCTCTGCTCTGCATGGGGACCCAGGCGCTCAGGTCCATGATGGCAGCAGCAGCAGGGGATGAGCACGGGGACCCCTCCCCACTAGAGCCCAGAAGCCAGCGATGCTCCGGGTCCCGCTGCCTTCTGTTGGCCCGAGGCTAGGGCTGCAGAGCCCACACTCTTGTGTTCTGCCGTGGGGCCCCCAGCCCTGCCTCTGTGCCCAGCCCTGCTCGCAGGAGTGCACTCGGCCCCCACAACTGGGCTCAGGGCACCTGGGCCTTCCAGGGGTTCTCAGATGGCTGAAGGGGATCCAGTGCCGGCAGCCTTTACATCACTGCACAGGGTCTCCCACAGCCCCACCTCCCTCTAGCCCTGCCCACATGCAGGTGGGAGCCCCGCCCACCCCTGTCCTAGGAGGGTCCTGTGTGCAGACAGCTGTGGTCATCGGGCCAGGAGCCTGTGTGGGGTCAGTTGGGGAGGGGCCCCCTGGGCAGGCAGGGCCACTTCTCATCTTGCTGGAGTGGGGGTCCAGCTGTGCTCCAGGCTCCTGGGGGCACTGAGCCAGGGCACCTGCTCCAGACCTGGGCAGGGTAGCTCAAGGCGGGGCCTCCAATCCACTCCAGAGTGGGAGTCAGCCGAGGAGCCAGAGCCACAAATGTCCTGAGGACAGCTCCACGGCCCGGCCCCAGAGTCGTGGGGAGAGAGCCGGCACCCACAGGAGGATGCTGGGAAGCTGCCCGAGGCCCCACCAGGCCATGCTGACAGAGCTTCAGAAAGCAGAACTTCTGAGTCGGGAGGACAAGGAGGACCAGGAAGAGGTGAGGCCCTGGGCGGGGATGTCAGGGCCTGGCACTCCCACTACTGACTCCCCCAAGGGAGCATGGGAAGGGGCCATGTGCTGGACTCACCTTCAGGAGGCAGGAGGCACTGGAGCTTCCCCAGCTCACACATGGAGGCCCGCAGCTGCCTGATGACCGCGTCCTCGCTCAGAGACCAGGCCTGCTTCAGGGTCACCTGCAGGAACTCCCGGAGGTGGTCCCGGGGCATCTTCAGCAGGCGCTCTAGACATGGGGGTGGGTGTCAGGCTGGGAGGGGCCCTAGGGATGGCGCAGCCACCATGGCTGCTCCAAGCCCTGTCCCAGCACCAGACATGGGCTGCAGACACCCTTGGACACCCTTGGGTGTCACGCCAAGCACTAGAGGGACTGCTCAGGGGCCAATTTCCAGTGCGATGACCCTGGCCACTTCTCCTTGTGGTCTGTGGGGGCCTGGGATTGGGGATGCAACAGGGGGATTCTCAGTGCCCTCCTGAAGGGAACCCAGGCCTCCCCAACCCCCTCACCCCTCCCTCAAGCCCTGCTCCCGAGGGACAGGCAGGGGACCCCCAGCTCCTCCGTCCCCAGCACCCGGGCCTCTGTGGGCCCTGAGGACTCACTGTTATGGATCTTGAGGGCCGTGTATGCCATGGCCGGGAGCACGTGCTCGCCCTCCAGGATGTATATATCCCATATTCTCAGAGCCAGGGGGAACGGCACCTGGGGACAGAGGCATTGGAGGACCCGCCCATCAGGGCCTCAGCAGGGCCCACAGGGGTGGGTGTGCAGTGTCACTCCCCTAGGACAGAGGGAGACTCCAGGAGGCTGATCACACAAGAAGGCCAGAGCTCCTCCTGGGAGGGGAGGGGAGGCCATGCCTCATGGCCACATCCCTGCCCACTCAGCGAACCAGACCCACAGAGGATGACCATGTCCTGTCCTGGACCCTGGGGGTCTGCACACTTTGGAAGCCACATTGGAGATGCCAGACACCCCAGGGACCTGGGGAGGGGTCAGCCCTTGGGCTGTGCTGCCACCAGCCTCTGCCTCGGGGGGTCTATGGATCTCCTGCCTCTCACTGTAGGGCTCTGGCCTTTGCCAGGCTCTCAGGATGGGTCCTGGTGGGACCTGTCCCCTCCTTGCTGGCTCTGAGGCTCAGCCTCAGCTTGGACCACCCTTAGCAGGGCTGGACAGGGCCTGCCTGGTCTGCACAGCAGGCTCCCTCCTGTGTCTGCTGGGGCTGGGGGAGCTCAGAGTCACAGGCCACCAGCACCAGAGAACCAGGCACTGGGGCAGGAGCTTCCCTGGGCAAGGGGCACTTACCCCATCCAGGAAGCACTGGATGTACCAGTGTACCAGTGGGTGGTGGAGTCCTCCAGGCACACACCCTCCTTCTCCTAAGAAAAGGCAGAGGCAGAGGGGGCTCAGGGCCCAGGGCCCAGGCCTGACTCCCTCTAATCTGAGCCCTGGGGCAGAGCCCCTGGGTGCAGGAAGCCCAGCAGCAGGGGCATCCCCCCTCCCAGCCATGCAGGTTCCTGAAGGGACACAGGTCCCTCAGTCCACTCTGCTCTGGGGACAGCGTCTCCCTTCAATCTACGCCAACTCTGGGGGACCAAGTGCTGGACAACAAACCAACACCCAAGCTGCCGTGGACCCCCGTAACCAAGGAAAGTTTTGGTGAGGATGTGGCCTCCCCTGGCTCAGGAAGCAGTCCCATGAGCCCAGAGCCCTCAAGAGGAGAAAGGAGATGCTTAACTTACCAGGTGTTTCTCCAGGGAGGGGAGCACGCGATGCACAATGAGCCCCAGGTGTTGCTGGAATCGCTCCAGTTTGGGGGTGTTTGGTTTGTAGAAACCTGAGTAGAATCAGCCACACCCTCATGTGAGAGCCTCCTCCTAGGAAGGCTGGAGAGCCCCAGGCCTGGGTGGGGTGCTTCTGAGCACTGAGGGTCAGGGGAGGCTGGACCAGGGGCAGGTGGGGATGAACGTGGCCAGGGCAGAGGATCTGCTTGGGAGGTGGGTGCAGGTGGGTGACTGTGTGCAGCCCAGGCCAGGCTGCCCCCTGGAGCCCGCTGGGGTGGGTGCAGTCAGACTGGGTGACTCCTGACCATTCCAAGACTCAGGAGTGAGGAGGGGTGACCGTACAGGGGATACTGCCTTCCACAAGTTCCCTAGGTGTGGCTCTGTGCTTGAGAGTTGTGTACAGATGTGTGAGGCAGAAGAGCCAGAATCGACCTGAGTCACTGGACAAGGACAGGACCCCTTGTTCTGAAGGTTCCCACACCCAGGATGGCCATGGCCAAGCTGCAGGGCCTTTGGGTGGTGGTAAAAGAAGGGGGCTGGCTCAGTCTGGGAGGCCTCTGCCAGCCCTGGCTTCCTGGGAGCCCCCCCCACACTGTGACACTGTCCTGCACATTCAGGAGCCAGTGAGGGCCGTGCACGGACTTGCATGCACTGGGCCCCACACGCCATCCACCTACCGTGCATCGCGTGCTTCCTGCTTTCCATGAGCTGCACCAGGGCCCAGAAAGCGTCCTCCTCAGGCATATACATGAGCAACAGCGCCACCACATGGCTCAGACCCTGGCTGTAGCCCACCTCCTGCAAGATCCCAGAATACCTTTAGGAGACCTCCCCTGGCAAGAATGATATCCTAGGATGGCCCACCTCTCAGGCAGATCAGGGTCACCCACTGAAGGGTCCAGGAAGATTTAGGCACAGGGAGCCCCTGTGCCTGAATCCTGCCACTTGGTGTCAGCTGCCCAAGAATTGGAGCCCAGAGAAGTTCTCCAAGTTCCTGGAGGGAATCCTGCAGGGCCTGAGCTTAGGCAGCACAGGGGGAGAGCTCAAGTATGGACACCTGTTACCCCCAAGATGTCAGCATGGGCCAGGTTGCTGTGGGAATCCAGATCCATGCCCATGGAAGCTTCTGGCCCCCTGAGCTCTGCAGGTGAGCCGGTGGCCCTTTCTCACACGAGGAAGAAGTAAGCCAGGAAGTGCTACCAGGACCGGAACAGGAGGTGTGCCTCTGGCATGGGTGCAGGCCTGGGCTTCCTGAGTGCCAAGCCCCCTGGGAACCAGGGCACCAGGCAGGGTTGGCCAGTGGCAGGTCAGGGGGGTGGGGATGTCCAGGCCTTGCTGGGTCACCCATGGAGCCCTGCGCCTGCTCCACTCATGGGAAAGTCTGAGTGGGTGGTTGTGGCAGTGGCGCTGTACAGAGTGGGATTCAGGCCCATGGGTCCAACCACAGGGCTGGTGGGTGTAATGGCATCAGTGGGACCCAGAGCAAAGTCGTACACCTGATCTGCCCTGCCTTCATCCCCCGCCCCACTGCGTGGAATGCTAGCCCTGGGAGGGGCTTCCCAACACGGCCAAGCTCCTGGGGTCTGGAGACCAGCCCAGGAGAAGGCTGCCTTTCTCCTCCCAGAACTTGAGGTTGGGTCCAAGGAGGCTCGGAGCCTGGCCTCTACCGCTCTTCCTTGGAGCTGTGGATGAGAGAGGCCCCTCAACCCAGGCTGGGATCTCTGTGACCAGGGGTGCCCTGCAGGGACTGCCGGGATAGCACCTGCGCTATGATCCCAGAATACTCACGGGATTGTAGACGGAATAGGCCATCAGTATGTGGAATAAGGCCTGTTGGCTGGAAGAGAGAGGACAGAGGCCGTGTGTCTTGTGCTGCCGAGGCTCTCAGTGCAGCTCTGCCTAACAGAGCCTGACAGCCACACGCAGGGCCCGTGACACTCTGCTCATGCGCAGTGACGTCGTCAGGGCACCTGCATGTTGTCCACCGTGTGGGTGAGCGCCGCCTACATGGACACGCACACCTCCCAGGGCGCAGTCACGTGCACTTTCATTTCCCCAGGTGGGTGTTCAGGGCACAGGTGAGCGTCCCACTGTGGGAGTGCAGTCCCGTGTGTCCAAGCTGTGGAGAGTCAGCCTCCCATGCACGTTTAGTCTTGTAGGGAGCAGCACCCAGCGTCCTCAGTGGTTTTAGTTCCCCCCTCCCACAGCTGTGCGCTGGTGCCCCTTTGTGGTGTAGGGAATAAGCGTGTGTTCATGCGCTGAGGAGGTGAATTGTGTGTGCTTTCATGAAGGGTCCCCCCGAGCCTGTGTTCCCGGGGTACTGGGGGGCTGCCCACTGCTTCCTTGTGACTGAGTTGAAGGGCTCCTTGAATATTCTGGAAACAACACCTTTATTAGTTAGATTGCTACTATTGTCTCCCCTGGTGTTTCTTTTCATTTCAGTCTCTCCACAGTCTCTTTGGGAAAGTTTGTGTACTATAGAAAAGGCAAGTTTGTTTTCTGTGCTCAATGAACTGTTTTAGGCTTGCACCCAATCTTCCCTAGGGACCCCATGTGCCCCAGGACCCTTGCTCCTCCCACCCGCGGGTCCTCCCCAGCCAGAGGCCTCACTTCATTCCGTAACGTT